GATTGCGATGCATTCTGGGAAAGAATTCGAACGGTTGCAGCGCGTGTTAAATGAACTCGCTATAGCCATGTTTTCACGGGTTCCCCCTGGTTCTCCCTACGAAGCTGATCACGAAGTATGAAAATCCTTACGTGCTTACCTTCGTACTCCTCGAGGGCTCGCGCGTCTCGTCGCGCACGTGCCGCGAAGTAGCTGGTAGCATAGTTCCCATCACCGATTAATAGCGCAGATTACTTTTTCCAGTTAGTTGAGCCTCCTAAATTACAAATAGCACTAAGACAAGGACAGACGAAGAAGTGGACAGGACAGGCGCTAAGTCACGACTGACGGTTTTATATGCAACGAGAAAGAAGAAGGTGAAGGAAGTGACTTGTGTTGAAAAAGACAAAATAATTATATTTCTTCCCCATTCCCTATTCCCCATTCTAAGAATGTAGTTTGTTAGACTAATAAGACTGACAGTAGACCAAAACGAAAATATTAAAAGTTGAACAAAGGTAATGAATTTTAACTATAAACGATGATATTTTTTGAAGGCATAGAAAATTACCTCTAGACCGTGAATGACGAAAATAAGAATGAACAACTAATAAGTGGTCGATTATAGACGCTTTACACACGCGCCAGATTGAGCCGCCATAGCCGCCCTTCTCTTGTCTTACCGAGATGCCGAGCCACTGAAGCGGGCGTTGACGGGTCTTCACAAGGGCCTATGCTGGGCACAAGAACACAGTAGCATCTTAAATGGCAATAACCTGTCCTGCTGCGGTAATGATGAAGTGAAGCGAACGGAATAAGAGGAAACAAAAACTGAAGGTCAGTTATGGCGGCGCCCATGAACAGCTGCTGTAAAGCGTCTATAGGTCGCCGATCAGTGCATCGTACAGCCTATAATACGTTTTACCACCAACAGGCACAACAGTCAATGCTATACCGACGCGAGAGCGAGGACCCACCCGGTGCTCCACCTCACGCGTCCTCGTGCAATCGTAATTTCGAAGATTGTCATGTATGACGGCTCAAGTACTGAACCTCTTTCCAAGTCAATGCCAAAGATGGTGTGGATACGCATTCCCTCCATTGGCTTGTATGGTCTTTGCTTCAAAAATTTCCCTGATCCTTTTCTCTTGGAAACGCCTGATGACTTTTGTGTCCGGTAGCAAAGGTGTGCTGGAACAATCTCGCACGTGCATTGCAGCGCCTGTCCTGTCCGCTTCATCGTCTGTCCTTGTCTTGGCGCTCGTTGTAATTTAATAGGTTTAATCAACTAGCCCGCCAGAATATTTTGATACGTTCATCCTCCGCCTGGTGACGTCGGTATGTGAAAAAGGTCCATTCTCTACACGGGGCGGTAGCCCTCGACCGCCTCCTTGCCGACAGGTGACCGAACACCAAGGCAGTGATAGAAGGACCTACAAACCTGTACCCACAAAAAGGCTTTTTTTTTTTCATCTACATTGCCTACACAAACAGAAACATCTTCTTAATCTCCGAAACTTGTAGTGACCGCCCGATTCAAAAGGGGCTAATAACCCTGTCAGATGGGCTAGTTTAGTGTCACTACAAGCGAGTGCACTTCGCCCTTAGTGTCATTTCTGTAGTGTGCTACACGGCTCCTTCCTGAGGAACACACTTGGCTTGGAGTGAGTTTGACGAACTCACTTCTCTCGATCGAGCGCGTGGAATCAGCAGGAGTGTTTCAACAGTAGAACATAACAACACAAAAACCAAAAGCGTTGCGTAAGCTTTATTTTATAAAGAAAAAAAATTCGTGAAAGAGACGACATGTAGAAGAGTGGGCATTGCAAAAAAAAAAAGGTAGTGGGGTGGACTTGGAGTTTAGGCTTACCTGAATCAAGATTAGCGCAGCGGTGAATTGATAAAAGACGACGACAAAGTCAGTCATTCATGGCTGTCTTGGTTAGCAGAGAATTATAGAGTCTACTTTTGTTTCAGCATGTAATTATTTAAGACGACACGATAATTATGATCTGATTAGGCAGTGTCAGGGCCTCCTCGTAGATTTCAGTGGAACGAAGCGGAACGCCAAAGTTGTATATGCTTCGTTCTTTATATTGGCTTGCGATGATCGATCAGAATCATCCAATTGGCGTAAAAATCGGTCATTAATGCAACGTTGTTTTAGAGCACAGCTCCTAGGCACCCCTTTCTGAATTAAGCGGCGTCGGCGTAACCGCGCGTTGCATTAAGGGTTGTTTCCCGAAATGACGTCACACGTGACGTCACGCGTGTCGTCACGTGTGACGTCACGAGGGTAAACTTTTCCCGCTAAATTTTGCGGTAAAAGTTTTTGCTCAGTTTGGCGGAAAATTTTTCCGCTAAATTTAGAGAAAAACTTTTACCCATTTGACATCACATTTAAAATTTCAGATGACGTGTCATGTGACGTCACACGTCAATTCAGCGGGAAAATTTCCCGGCTAAATTTAGCGGGAAATTTAGCTAATTTTTTATGCTAAGTGGGATGGGAATAGGAGAGGAGGATGGGAGGGTACGGAGGGGGAGCAGCTGTCATACCCGACCCCTTCGTACCCTTCCTCCCTCCTCTCAAGAGCTGCGCTCCAATTCGGCATTACAGAGAATTGTAAACGTCTAATTTTTTTAACCTGTATTTATTAAGGGGTATTGGTGGCCGAGTGGGCTAGCGCCCACCAGATCGTAGTACGTGGAGAGAAAGCTCGCGCTGGAGAACCCAGTGATCCTGAGCTCAATCCCCAGCCCTGCCCGAAGAACACACTTCCAATGAAGCGAGTTCGGTGAGCCTACTACGCTCGCTCCTGTAGACCGAGTTTGTAATCTCGATAGCAGTGTTCAAGGAGTGAAAATAATAGAAGAAATTAACGCTGCGTAAAATTAGTATTTTGATAGGAGTAATATTAGATGCGCACTCGTTTTCTGTTGGCAGGAAAGTAGTGCATTGTAGAAAAACAAGCGGCTAATCTAGTTTCCAGCCTTGGTTCTGCGCGACGGCCAGCGACGGCCAGGAGGCACCTGCGAGACTCCACCAGGAATCTGAAGGTGGCAGGAGACACGCGAAAGGCTTGTTTGAAATGGAACTCGCCCAAATGGGGCAAGGTGTCTTCGAACCACCTTTCGTTCCTCTGGAAAGTCCACCGTTCTCGACTGATCACGGGTAGATTGTCGGTCATGAGAGCGGCTAGGGCGAAGGCATTGGCCTGCAGCTGCTGATCGATGTCACTTGACATTCCTGCCTGTGCGTCGGCATCCAGGTCCAGCTGCCTCTCATCTGAAAGGCGTTGGGCTCTCCCGGAAAAAAGTGAACCAACCACGCGTTTCCACTGTCCAACATCGCGGATATCACCCTCCATCTCGTCCTCCACACACTCCATCATGTTTCGTTGTGGCGAGTGGCCGCCTTGCGAGCGGCCAAGTGGGCTCGCGCACACCAGCTCGGAGCACGCGGAGCGAAAGCTCGCGCTGCAGAACCCAGGAATCCTGGGTTCAATCCCTACTTCTGCTAGCTTCGATCTATACTCCTTTTCACCTTATGTTGTACCGCAGACAAGGCTAGAAGCGCGAGCTCAATGCGTTGGGAGCTACGGCGGCACGAGAGCTTGTGCCGCCGAGATGTGCCTTGAGCAAGGAGCTCGCCCTTGTAGCCTTTCCTGCGGTACATTATAAAGTGAAATATAGATGAGCATTGCACCGGCGTGCGGACGTGTATCACTAGCTTGTAATGGCTGATTGTAAGGATCAAGTTGGATTTAAATCTGGATTAAAGCTCGTGACTTAGCGCAACAATGTGTTGTAACGGGTTTCTAATAAGACGACGAAGTTATTTATGAGAAAATGCGTATGCACTGTAATATGTTGCGTGCCCATTACGTACCCATCGTCATTGCCATCATTTTGGAGTGACACTAAGTTTTTCCTTGTAGCACCAACACACTTGGAGTGTGTTTCGGCGGGTTGAAGTGCACTCGCTTGTAGTGACATAAACTAGCCCGTCTGACAGGGGTATAAGCGGCTTCCCGGACGCATATATCCTGAGGGGTCACCTGATCTCTTCCACAAGCTCGTTTTAAGGGTTTTGATGGGTGGTGTGGTTTCACCTACAGGAATGGGACAGTCCTCACAGGCCTCTCAGAATGCTATGGCGGGTCTCTTACACCCATTAAGAATTCTTAAAATGAACATCAGGCCCTAAAAAACTTCGACAGAAATTTCAAAAATAAAAAACATATTTGATATGTAGCTCAGAACATTTAAGAAATTATAGTGGTCCCCATAGACGGATTTTCAATCATAAATACTGTTAGTATTGCCGCTTGTGTTGATGATAAATGAAATGACGGTGGTAGATAGTGCCATTTTGGGAGTAATAAAAATTAATTTTGTTTGATATTCTTAGATCTTGCCGTGATTTTTATATTACTGTAAAATGTAAATGTTTAGTTGCGCCTGAATAAAAAGTAACCAAGTGAATCAAGCAAGCAAGCAAATAGAATGTTCCACGTGCCGTATTTATTCGAAAGTAGGATGACCTTTTTGTGAACAATGCCTGTGCCTGTATTTCTGTGCAACGCTCAAGAAGAGCCAATCACTGCTATTTATGGTAGAAGCATAGCTAAACACGAGGCACCGGTAATTTCGGATCACAAAAAAATCAGTTTTCTCCGGACCGTTTTTTTTTTTTATTCCGAACACTTTTTTTTTCCGTTTGACGGCTTTATTTTAAGTCTTAATGATTGGTCTTCGTTGGTCCTTCGGAGAGTAGGCACGAAGGTCAGTTCATAAGAAGGTCGAGCAAGTATCGGGCGAATTCGGTAGATTGCTTGTAGAACATGCCGAATTGCGAACGTTTTGCTGGAGTTTTCGACGTGCTATTTCCACCTGACCACTGTGATGCGACTAATATAATAAATTATTTTGCCAAATCTTGACAGCAACAAACCTCAATTTCTAGGTGTTTCTTCTTAAACTCTTTTATGATGGCACAATATTTTTACCTCTCACAGTACTGCGACGAAGAAAATGTTAAAAGGCTCGCACGTTGGGTTGAGGAATGGAAGCGTTATGCAAAAAACGCCAAGAAAAATCTTTGCCACAAAGCGTAACACAAGGCGCCTCATCCGCACGTCACGTGGCAAGTATCAAGGTACCAATAATATACAATCGTCTGCAACACGGATATGTTTCTTTATATTTTACGATGCAAAATAAAGAAGTGAAAATATTAGACTTTAAAGATCTATTATTTATGAGGTACAACTAGAAGTTGCATAAAACCCTGTCAGTATTTAGTATCTGTCTCTGTGATTTTTTTTTCCTGGAATCGAGAGATTGCCTGAGAGCTCATAAGCAGATCTGGGAGATACAGCTACCCGCTAAGGGTAGCTGTATCAGCTACCCTTACCGAAAAACAGCATATTTCCTATGGGAAACTTATTAACAATATTTCACCCGCATTTTATTTGTAAACTTAAATGGCCGATCCAGATTAAACTATTGATGTTTATTTACCGTAATCTTCGCGCACTCTTAGGATACATCTTAAATACTCCAAAGCGCCAGGTTAGGACACTGTGGATATACCTTTAGCTTACTTAATGCAGCTTATACATTTATCAAAACCATGCAATAAAAGTGCGTTTAAAGCAAAAGTGAATTGATGATGCGCGAAAATCTAAATTCAAAGTGATTGCAGCATATTAAGCAACCATAGAGATTAGAAGCCTATGCAAAACAACTCATGAATCATAAAAATTTGATCGTGCCGGCAGTTTGGTTTACAGCCTTCCAAATTTGAATTTTGTTCCTAATATGGTTTCTTTACCAATAAAGTTCTACTGAAGACAACCGTTCGAAAGTTTTAGATATGTACATTTAAACGATCCCCTGAACTGCCAAAAGTGTATGTCCCGATTCACACATGCGGTTCTACAAAATGCAGATAAAGGCAACATAAAACTCTTCGCTCAAGAACACCATTCTCAACTAGAAAATGTATACAAAGCGTCAGCTTCAAAAATATGCCATCATCATTATACTGGGTCTAAAAGCTCTGTCAAGAAAAAATATATAAAAAACAAAGAATAACCCATGATTCTGCTTGAACTTTGATAGGAGCTCATTGGTGTTCCACCAGGTACCACGATCCAATTGTCGTCCAGTAGCTTAAATTGCATGGTGATTTTGGAGCATTGAGCCTGAAAACAAATCGAAACACAGACAGCCCCCTGCATTTTTTAAACTCTGTGAGATGGCCACAAAAATGAGACTCAGAAACTGAAAAAAAAAAGAAAACAACAGAGCCGAGGCTTTAGCCATTACCCTTAGCGCCACCACAAACTAGGCGTCGTTTCTCTAACGTGCTCATTTTTTTAATATTGTTAAAATAGTCTCTTTTTTTATATTGCACACACACCTTTTCATTTTCTACTTCTACGCTATTAAAGGTAACGCAGAGCAAAAAAAAAATTTTTTTTCTAGCAATTAAACGCAAAAATAAAAAGACGAACATTGTGCATAAGCGCCGCCCGACCTTTAGGTTGGTCTAAGAGGTATCCAGGACGCCTCTGAACGGCGATTGCAAACAAACTAGAAACCTGGAAAAGAGGGAATATCCGATGGAAAGCTTTACATAGGTATAATGTACTCACCATGAACACAGTAATGCACTCACCTTGAACACAAGAAACTCTAAATGTGTAATCCGATATCGCTGGTATATTACGTAGTAGCAGGTAAAGTTATAATACACACTCAGCGTTGCGCGCACCAAAGTCAGCATAAACCTCCTTCGAATTGGAAGTCGGCACGAAAAATATATACTTCCTGCGGACACAGGCGAGGACTTTAGCTTTCCCAGCCACTGCGACGTCGCTGGAACGAGATTGACCAACTCGCCTAGCTCGGACCCTGCAGTCTGGCTGTCCAGCCGTTCCCGGACGCGAACCTTAAAGCGGCCCGGGCGGCCAAAGCCAAGCATCCCGCCGCTAGGTACGCAGCAGGAGACCGGCTCGCTATGGCTCCCGGGGGAGCGACAGCCCGGCAGCGGCAGGCCCTCATCCATCGCCTCCAAACAAACAGTGCCTTAATCCCAGTGATGATGCAGTACTTCATACCAAGCGCTGACCAGTGGAGAATGGGCCGATAGCAGCCACCTGCTCGGGTGCGCGGGTCACACTCACGGCCACGCGGAGCCAATGGCCGCTTTCGCCATGACTGACGTCTGCAAGTCCGGTCTCAGGGCGCCTCCGTCTTCCTCAGTGGTGTGCCGTTCCGCGCAGCTATGATCCGATTACGACGTCTTCGCAAGGTTTTGTAGTTGGATTATGCCGCGTCGAAGAGCAACGTAGACGTGCAGATGGCAGCGCCCTGAAGCCGGATTTGCAAACGTGTATAGGCCCGCCGTGCACAACAAGAGAACAGATAATGCGTCCGCATGAGACGGCGAAGACAAAAGAAAAGGCCTTCAAGGCGATACTCACCTTCCTCGAGAACGCTAAGGAGTAACCTGGGGATTCAAGGCGTTTGGCCTAAGTTGCCCATCCGACAATCGTCAGTGGTCATCTGCACCACGATTGGGCCAAGGGCAACTGGCCGCGCGAGCTGCGCTCCGCCGCTGATGAAGGGCTGTCGCAGCGTATCCGCGGAGATTTCGAAATCGCGGCGCAGATGAAAACAGTCATAAAATATCTCCTTGTTGTTAAACCGATGTGCTGTGTCATTCTCTGAGACGGGTAGCAAGGCAATTTTTATACAGGCGTCTAAACGTAAAATGCTGCACGTCTGGGAGGATGTCAGCGAAATGGGTTAGTTTGTTAAAAAGCGTGTTTTTTACATATTCAATTTTGCGTTTAAGAGTTTGCCCGCATTTTCGTTGCGTTCGTTTCCAAATTCGCTTAAGCATAACTTCTACGTGCGGAAGCCTTCACAACTACATGATGTCGTCCACAGACGACGCCATCAAAACGTGATTGATTGCGACGACTTGACCCTTAGTGAAAAGTAATACGTTTGAAATATACCACATTCGAATTTGAGTGTATTTGAAATACAGTTAATAATTGTAAGTACACGAAAAATAGACCGAAAATATAAACTTCTTTTTTTTTACTTAGTACTAAAATATACTTCTAAAGATCATTTTAAAATACCTTAGAATACATTTGAAGTTCCCTTCATGCGTTTTGAAATATGTAAATACTAAATTAATAGGAACGAAATACCTTTCACATATATTTCTTGAAATATTTATTTAATTCGTGCAAAATATACTCCAACCCTAAAAAAATGGAGCAATCAAAAATACGTTCAGAATACTCTTAAAATACCTGAAAATCGTAAATACTGTTGTGTTATACTCTAAGTACCTTTTGACTGCAATACTTTGGTAATTTGATTTAACCTACCAAAATATTGAAAAGCTCCCCTTCTAGAAGTTCACTTCAAGCAGATATGGAGTACACTGAAGCGCCTAAATACAACATTTGATTAGTTTGTCAACTGAATTGCGCAGCATCGCACTGATAAATCAGCCCAGTTTATGTTATTGTTTCCTTTTTTCTATCAAGAACACACCTGATCAGTTCCTTGCACACCAGTCACAAACGGGGTTCGGGAACTACAACCACAACATTTGCTGATGCTGGAAAGCTTCAGCAGGTGCTGTGAACAGGTACGTTTGGCGTGGTTTTGTTAGCACAATGTTAGTTCGCTGAACGTGTATACTCACCATTGTACGTGATGTGAATAGTGACTTTAATATAGTGACATTAACCACCATATTAAATAGTCTACTGGGTGATTTCAGATAAGATCGACCAAAGGGTGACTGGTCGACATTTTTAAATCAACTGATGTTTTTATATGACATTGTCTAGTGTCTGTTATAAACGAATCCACACTTAGTTTTGACCAGAAAAAAAATTTGGAGACAAGAAAAATCGTAAGGCAGGGAGAGGTGGACAGTCGCAATAACGCGCACTGATGGAGGGGGCAAGTTTGAAAGTGAATAATTAAAACAATAAAATTAGGAGAATTTTAAAACTTTTTACAAACAAACTATGGGTACAACTTGCTTGTAATATAAAGTAATAATATTTATTAAAAATTTATTTAGTTTTCCAAAATTGCCAAACATGCCTGCTCGAACGACAAATGGCAAACTTTGGAAATCTGTATCTCATGAAATAATTTAATCATTATTACATAACTTGCCGACATTATTTTACTAGTATATGGCTATTATTGAAAAAATAAATAAGGTATCTGAGTGACACAATAGTTACAATATATTTAGGCAAACATGGGAAAAAATCAAACAAAGAAAAATTCCAATGCGAAAAAAAAAACACCACCTTCGATTTTTTTTAAATTTGGGTACCCTGTTATACTCTATTTCGGCATTCATTTCTATTAAAACATGTTGCATCATTGCACTGTGAAAGAAGAAACAACTCCCCAAAGTAGGGTCCTTTTTCAAAGCCTACACTTAGCAGTGTCCTATACAAGAAGTGACTCTGAGTTCCAGTTTCATGAAACTTGCACAAATCTTTTATATACATTTATTCAGATGAGGTCATTGATAAAAAGAGCGATCGGTCACACAGTAAAAGGGAGGAGAAACTGTATACAGCATTCTACATAAGCGTACAAAGTGGTATCATATTAGAGACTAATGATTTGAGAAAAGATGATGCAGTGTGAAGTTGTAGCTTCCGGTATATTTTACATCTAGAGCAAAATAAATAACTTTACTTCCACACACAAAAACAAAGATATAATAGTAAGATATTTAAGTTGGCTGTGTATTTACGATTACAAACAATTTCAGGTGACGGATGCCATAGTGCCTAACTGGAGCAGCTTCGATGCTCTCGGTGTATGAATGAATCGTGGCAAGCCGATATATTTTATCCTGCTCGAGGATAACATTTTGGGATTTTTTTTATAGTGATCAGATAAAAATTATTAGTAACCACCAACAAAAACAGTAGGTTAAATACCCCGTGAAGAAAAATGTGATAAATAAGATGTCCCTGCATTCAAAATGAGCAGTCCTTGGGAAATCAAATTCGGCACTTTACGCTAAGGTTTTCCTCGCTGTACC